ATGTGAGTCTCTGACTTTATTCTTCTTCTTCAAGATTGTTTTGCCTCGTTGAGGCCTCTCGCAATTTCGCATGAATTTGAGTGTAATCATTCTTGAGTGTAGTGCTGGTTTCTGTTGGCTGAATACTCAGAGGTAGAACTGTGGGGCCACAGGATAGAAGTATGTTCAGCCTTGGTACCCACTGTCAGTTTTACAAAGTGATTGTGCCAATTTACCCTTCCACCAGCAGTGTATGGGAGTTCCATTTGTACTACACCTTATCAGTATTTGGTATGCCAATCCTTTTGTAAAATGTTAACCTTTCTGGTAGACTACCCTAAAATTATGAGTCAAACACTGCTGTCTCCTTCAAGGGGCAGCCAAAGTGCAGGCATCCACAACTTTGTTCAAGTGGACTTTCTTTTAGCACTGGGTCTTGGAGAGTGTTTCTTGCTCCCTTCTCCATTAGCAGCAATCAGGGTCTAGCTCAGCTCTGGAGGCTGGAGCTCTGGCTGGTGGAAGAGGCAGAATAAGCTGTATTCTCACACTGCCAAACCTCAGCCCACCTGAGAGATCCTTGGGATTTGGAGTGTGTGCATAGTGGGGGCAGAGAGGATGATCAAGGGCTGCTAAAGGAAAAATGGTAACTGAATGCCGTCTTGGCTGCAGGAGTTGGATATGATTCCAGTGTGGATGGGGCTTTTGGAGCTATGCCGAGCCCTTGAGAGGTCAGTTCTCAGGTAACCAGGCTTCCAAGAATTAAGAAGCTGGCAAACCTGTCTCATTTGACCTTGAAAAGGCTCTTTCAGCCACCGATCCTGAGTCCAAAAAGGGTAAAAGCTTTTCCCAGCCCTACAGCACCCCAGGGCTGGAAATTCTCAAGCCTGTACCTTACACTTGCTCAGCTCTAAAGGCCCTGAGGCAGTGAGCGCTCTTTCCACTCACAGCTTGTTGCATAGATGAACTCAAGTTCAGTAAATGTATACTGCAAGCCTGTGTGTGCAATACATCAGACTAGGCACCTTGGAAGCTGCAAAGGACATAATATGAACTCCCCGACTATAAGTTTTTCATCTTCTGGTAGAGGGGGAAATATTTGCAGATATCACTACAATGAATCTTTGCTTACCGAGGGAGATACATAATGTCCTTTGGAAGCCAGGGCAGGAGAGTTCATGTTCCACCTTGAGAGGTCTGGTGCACCATATCCATGGTTGGTGCATGGACATGAAGGGTTGGATTGGCTTCCTGGAGGAGGTGGCATTGGTACTGGGCCTTAGAGGATGAATAGGATTTGTTAGGCAGAGATAGAGTAAGGGAATTCTAGGCAAAGAAAGAAACAAACAAAAAAAAACAGGAGTGTAGATGTTACTATCCTGAGCATTTGGAGAAAAACAGGTGCAGTCGGATTACTGAATGCTGACAAGGGGGACCCCTAGATGTCAGCTTGGAGGAGCTAGATTTTATTTTGCAGAAACAGGGAGTCCCTGTAGAATTTGCACATGGAAGATTTATTTAGTGTTGCTCCTAACTGGAGAGCATTCTGGTAACAACAGGGAGACCATGGGACTGCTCCACCCACGCAGAAACAGAAATACAATACACATATCCAGATAGGCATATGTGCCCACAAACACACATGCAAGAACTAGGACAAACAAACACACTGAGACCTAGAGACCCACATATCAAAACACGTAGCCATACTATCAGAACTCACCACACACACACACACACACACACACACACACACACACACTACACAATCTGTAAACCCAAGAAAACACACATTCAATACCACACACATGTCCTGAGATACCTATGAACACTTGAAGGCTGACAGGTGCCCACATGTACTGAGTCACACTAAGGCGCACACATACAAGTCAGATAGATCCCCGTGCCTGATATACACAAATGCCCACCAAGCCTGGCAGGTATATATGCACATTTTGACTTATATATACACCAAGACACTTACACACACACAGCCAGAACATGCTCACACTCACTGAAGCCGCTCCCCAGAGACACACATGCCATCCACACACTCACAGTCACACGCTCATGTGTAGGCACAGCCACAGGCAGACCCACACAGCAGTCACTCCAAGCAGAGACAGAGACAGGCCCTGGCAGGTACCAACTCAGCCCACGGCTGCCTGGTGGCACCTCACACCCTCCTCCAAGGCTCCCTTCTAAATTACCTGCTTCTTGGCCGCTGATTCCAGCCCTGGGTCATCCTGGGGTCTCAGCCCTGGACAGGCCCTCGGGACGGTTGCATCCTACCCCCGACTCAGTGCTGAGATTTCTAAATTCCTCTGACAGAGTTACCTACCCAGCTTCTGCTTAAATACTTCAGACAAAATACTTTGTGGTGGCAAGTTTCCCGTTGTAATAGCGTTCACTTTCCACGCTGGGAAGTGGGGATTGTACACCCAGGGATGAGACGGGACCTTTTGCTGCAGCAGTTACAGTCAGAGAGCAAATCCAGCTGGAGGGCCTCTAGCCTGCTCCATCCACCCTGTCCCGGAGTCCTGAGGTGGGCTGCGCTTGGCTACAGGCTCAACAGTTCCCCTAAGTCATTGTGTTGCTGATCTCTTCTGGTATGGGAGAGCAGGTGGGCTGGATGTGGCGCACCAGACCTCTTTGGAGGGAGCTGTGGGTGGCAGGGGAGTGAGCCTTGGGGAATGGGGGAAGCACGACTCAGCTGCCCTGCCTAGGATGCCTAGGATGTGCTGGTGCTCTCCCCCAGGCAGGCCAGCTGTTACTAGAGCCACTGCATTGGCACGGGCTGTCCTCTGTGAATGTGACCCACATTCAGGCCTGCCCAGCAGCTGTCTTCCCCCACCACATTCCTCCTTTCTGGCTGCCAACCCCTCCTGGCTTCCTATTCCCTACCAGCATTAGGCTCCCTGGGTTGAGAAAGGGGCTGCTGTCCACAGGTGGCTTTGGGAGATGGGCTGGGCTGGTGTGGCTTCCTCTCTATGAGGAGAAAAGCCACAGGAACTGCAACGTGATGGCTTCCAACACTGAGCTGAGCTCAGAGCAGGCAGAGAACAGGAGGCAGGAGCATGGGGGCAGCTACCCTCTTGGTCTGCCCACCCCTCCAACCCCCAGGCCACCCAGCAGGGGGTCATCTGGATGCCACCTGATTTTCTCAGCATCTTATTCCCTTTTGTTCCTCTTCAATGTGGGATTGATCTGATCTGTCCATTAATCCGTCTGTACCTTGCTGATATGGAAAAGGGCTGCCTCTTCCTGGGCAGGACTTTGCCCCTGACCTGGGCTGCTCACTGTGTTCTGGCTCTGAGTCTTAAGGCCAATGCCTTCCACCCTGATTGTGCCTTTCCCTTCTATCCTTCCCATCCCCTTACAAACTCCATTAACCCTGTATTCATTGTAGGCAAGGGAAATGGCTCAACAGGAGCCCCTGTGAAAAGGCCGGCTGGGGGCTAGATGTGGGGCTGGAGGGAGTGCGGGTTGTTGACTTGAAGCTCAGTAAGAGCCAATAGTGGGATGTGGTGGTTGAAGAGGCATCACAGCATAAGCCTGTCTCAAAGGGCTGCCCCGTGCGCCCTGTGTGGGGAAATTGTGCCCTGCTCTGGGTGCCATACCACAACCAGTACTTTTTCATGTTAGCAAAAGTGATTTATGTTTACACTGCAGAACACTTAGAAAAGATAAATAAGCACAAAGGAAAAAAAAAAAAGCAAATTATCCGTAATTTCACTGCTCAAAGATAGTCATTCTTCTCCTATATTTGTAATCTGTTTTTTACTAAATCTTCCATTTGATTAAAATATTTTACTATATTATTTTATCATTTTGATAAAATATATCATATTTCATTGCTTATGAGAGTATTGAGTACAGGCCAGTTTTTTAGCAATTACCGTACGTATTAGGCACTGTCATTTAGAGAATCTTTGTAACTCGAGTTGATACTGTGATCCAGTTTTACAAATAAGGAAACAGAGGCACAGTTGCCCAAGACTTGCCTGCACTAGGTAACTTGCGCAAGGCAACACAGCCAATAAATGGCAGAGCCACATTTTGAACCCAGGTCGCCTGCTCCAGAACTCTTATAATCTCCACACTGTACTGACTTTCCAACCATGGGCGTGCCATAGTTTATCATTTCCACTAGTGATGGTTGTTTCGGTTGTTTCCAACTTTTTTTATCATTATAAACAACATTCTGCTGAATATTTGTGTGACTTAAATATTTTAATTACTTTTGATTATTTAAGATCCATTCCCAGAAACGGAATTTATGGAATGAAGGGTATAAACATTTTTAAGATGTTTCCATGTTTTTCCAAACTCCCTTCTGGGAAGTCTGGGAGGGGTGACGCCTCCTCCAGGAGGTTAGGAGAGCTGAGCCTTACACTCTAGGAGAATCTCTGACCCAATGAAGTTTGTCCATCTCAGAGGAAGCAGGACAATGTGGTGAGTGGAAATGGTTTCTTGAGGGGAGGTTGAAGGGACTGGAGATATTTAGCCTGCAGAAGATAAGAGACAAGGGCCACACGCATGGCTGTAATCAAATGTGTAATGGGCTGTCACGTGGAAGAGAGAAGTTTGTCCTGAGGCTCTCAAGCAGAAGTGGACCAGAGGACCAAAGTTGCGGAGAGCCATTGTCCTGTGTGGGGCCAGCACACAGCCCTGGATGGAACAGGGTGGGTGTTACATAAAGGTTACACGACCAGCTGCCATCCCTGCCTTGGGTTCGTGGAGGATGTGTGTATGGGGAGGGCCAGGACCACCCCCGCCACACTGAGCTCCCCTACAAAACATGACGTCTCTGAATCTTAACAGGGGGATCTGCTCCCCACCCCACCCCCGCCTTGGGAGCCTGGCCCAGCCTGGTACGTCTCTCTGTCTATCCCCTCAGGAGCACAGCCTGGCTTGTGTCATGGGCCACACAACTCTTCCATTATGTATGAGGGGGACCCAGCGGTGAGCGAGTGAGCAAGCCGGCCGAGGGAGGGGTGAGTGGTTATTAATAAACAAGTGTATTGTGTGGTGTTCCATTCATAGCACTCTCGGAGGACGTGGTGGGCTTGAGATAATAAAGCCCTGTTTATGCCATGGAGGGCTGGGGAGGTGGCTGGTGTGGGGTGACAAGGAGTAGGGAATCCAGGAATTATTTTGATTCCACCCAGGGCAGGGCTGCTGTGTTTTCTCTGAGGCCAACTTTCAGGGAAAAGAAGGATCTTGCTGGGATTTTGCTCAGGCCTAAGTCTGCCAGTTGGGATGGCCTGGGGCCTAAGAAATGCCTAGCTTCCCTCCCCACCTGTCCCCATGGAGGGAGACTGAGAAGATGCTGGATGAACTAGACGATGGCTCCTTCAGGAGAGAGGTAGGATGGCCAACTCTGCCCTCCCTCTCGGCCTTCCATTCTCACCGCGTTCCTCCTGCTTTGGCCTTCGAAGACTGTGAAGCTGTGTGTGCTAGGATTGTGCAAACTTTCCCAACAAAGCTAAGACTGTGTTTGTGCACAAGGGCTGCAAGAATCTTCCTAGCCCAGGGAGTGGATTGGTTTGGGTGTTAGGATTTGAAATATGAAGTAGGCAGGCTTGAAGGGGAAGAGGTGGTGGTACTGGTCTCCTATCCTAAATGAGCTAAAATTTTAGGAGGAAGAGAGGCCAAGGACACGGCTGCAAAGCCCCTGTATGGATGGGCAGGGGACCTTTGATTTGAGGAATGAGGGTGCCTGGAAAAGTGAGATGCTGGAGAGCATTTTGGAGGAGGGAGAATCAGTGTTGCGCATCTAATTGTGAAGCCTGTGTTAACTCTGTGGCATGTCTCTGTTCTGTGTTAGTCTTCTCCTATTCCCTCCTTCAGTCGTTTGCTCTGGGCTCCACCATCTCAAACCAGCTGTCTCCCTCCAGCCAGGCGTGCCTGGCTGAGTCTTGGCACCTCTGGATCTCAGGATCTCAGGCCAGGAATGCGGAAGCTGCTGGTTGGGAGGAGGTGAGAATTGTCCCTTTTGCTCTTAGCTGGCTTCTAGGGATGGAGAGCAGTTTCTGGGTCAGGGGAGCCTTGGTTTCCTGTCACTTCATGCTAAACCAAAACAACAGTGAAGACAGAGCCCACACAGGCTTATGGGACCTGGCCTGGCTGATGATGTTCACTTTGACCTTTGGAAGTGGCTTTGGTCCAGAGCTACCCTGAGTTAGAAAACTCTTTCATGTCAAGACAGCTCTGTCTAAAGAGATGTGTACTGGTTTGTTGTTGGTTGGGAGGGAAAAAGGAGGCTGGTGGAAGGGACAGTCTGTGTTGTCCTTTTGGATACAGGGCTCCCTGAAGCAGGGGTTTGGATCCAGTGACTTTAAAGTTTTGTTTGGGTTGATGATTCAATGACCGTACTTAACCCAGGAAGGTTCGAGGCTGCATTAGGGCCAGAATGAACTGATGATCCCTGATTATTGGAGTATTGCCTCCCTGGCTCAGACCAATTCAACCTTCCCAGAGGCAGCCAGACCTCACCCCAGGGCAGAGTGTCAGCAACATCGCAGAGTGCTCCCTCAACCCTATGCACAAAGCAAACGGTACAGTTTTCCCTGAGCATCATGCATCTCGGGCCTGGTGCCGCGGGATGATGAGGAGGCTCTACAGAGAATTGCAGCTCCTTCTTGGACTCTCCTTGGCTCCCACAGGCACTGTGGACACTTGCTCCCCATCTCCCTCCCACAGTCTGAAGGAGCAGTGACTATTTTTAGAAGCATCTGCATGCTCCTGGGAGCACTGTTTCTGTGGTTTATTGCCAGGCTGAATGCACAGGAGCTGGTGAGACAGCTGGGGCTGGGAGGTGCAGGCTTGTGTATGGTCAACTCAACTGCAGTCAGCCGGCTGGGCACCTGGCCTGGAGGAATGATCCAGTGTCTTCCACCAAGCTTTTGGGGGCTCCTACTGGCTCTGTTGTAACACTGTCATTTGCTGTGGGAGGCTTCCTGGAAGATGAGGGCCTTCATCATAGAGTTGGGCAGGCTGAGTCATCCTTGGACAACCCCCACTCTGAGGTGATGTGCTCAGGGTGCACCAGGTGGAATTGGTGAGATGGCCTCCCCCAGTGATGGCAGCACCATCAACAACCGTAATCACAATGGCTCCTGTTCACTGAGAGCCTTCTCCATGGTAGGCAGTGCTCTAAGCACTGGATGTCTGTCCTCATATAAACCTTCCAACAACCTATGCTATCTTCATCTTAAAATCAAGGATGCTGAAACCCAGAGAAGTTAAGCATGTTGCCCGGTGTCACACTGTCGGTGACTGAACCAGGCCCAAGAATCTGCTCTCTTACAGCCCCTATGCTTGGAGCCTCTTGGAGCCTGCTGCCATGTTGCCTCTCAGTAGAAGGCAATAAAGTGGGTTAGATGCAAGGAAATACTTCCTGACGGTGAGGGGAGCTGTGTGCAATGTTCTCCCTTCCAGATCTTTGAGATGCATCTTGCATTTCAGAAGGGAGCTGTCTTGCAGGCTGGACTCTGGATTAATGACCACGCAAGAGATTTTCTCTGTTGGGATTCTGGCAGCTCGGTTTTCTGGACCCTGGGCCAGCAGTGGTCTGCCATGAAAGATGCTGGGCCATGTGTCAGTAAGAACAGGGAGCAACCAGCCAGCAGCTCTGGGTACATCGAGTACCTGGCTGGGATTTGGAGTCCTATGAAAAACAGGGAGGCCAGAGAATCCCCCAGGCTTATAGAAGAAGCCCCAGAGAGATAAACCACTCCCATGGTTTAGTGGACATTTCATTTCTGCCTTTGAGTCAGATGTGCCTGTTCACCCAGAAAGAAACTTTTGGCTTCTGCTGGGGCCTCTGTTCCTGGGCCTCCCACCACAGAGCACACAAGGAGCTGGACAGATCCCAGGGAAGGCTTCGTTCTTTACCTAGGACACAAGCATCTGTGGGTCATGTGTATTAGGGACAGCTGCTGGGGGCCCTCCAAGCTGAGGCAATGAAGAAGCCAGAGAAAAGAGCCCCTCAGTGGGCTTGGTGAGCCATCTGGATGGGGATGGGGGAACTCTTCTTTGCCAACCAGCTGGGCTGCTGTAGCTTTTACTTCCCCTCTGTCACCCTGATCTGTACCATGGCAGCAGCCTCAGGAGAATGTTCTGGGGGTGTATAGGGGCTATCTCTTCTCTCTCCAGGAGCTGCAGTGGGGAGCAGGGCAGCTAACACCCTGCAAGTAGCAGGGCACAGTGGGCAGATAGGTGGGGGTGGAACAAGACTGCTGGGGTCCAGTTCCAGTTCAGCCCCTAGCTGGGTGACCCCTTGTTTCATCATGTCAGGTGTGGTATTAATAGCACCTGCCTCTTGGATTTTGAGAAGATAAACGAACTAATCCATGAAATCATTAGCACAGAAGTAAGAAGGAGAAGGCTGTCTCTGTCCAGTCCCACGCAGCCTTCGTTCCCCTTCGTTCCTACCCAGCCGAAACCTTCTTCCACTGGGGGGCAGGCCCATGTTGGAGGTGTCCTCACTGTGTCTCCTGCCGCTCATTCTTGGCTCAGGTTAAATAACCCATGGTCTCCACATTGCTTCCTGCTGCCACTCCCTTTTGTCGTAGGAGCCAGTGCAAGGCCACATGCTCAAGTCCCAGTTCTTCTGCCCCCTGGGCTGCCTTTGGCCCCATTTTGGGTCTCTGGAGGTGAGCATCGTCTTCTGGTGTACACCAGGCTTCTGACTTCCTGGATCAGCTAGTATCTGCTGCCTGGGGGCCTGGCAGTGGAATCACGTGGCTTTATTCTACCCACTCTGCCCTGTGACAGGCTTTCCAGGGCCCTGCCCCCGGTTCCCATTCCTGCACTTCCAACCCACCATCCTGAATCTACTTCCCTCCACCCTCGGACCCTGGGTCCTGATGGCATCTGCCCCAGATCCTTCCCACCTCTGCCGGTGCCCTTCTCCCCTTCCCACCTATGCCTGGGGCCTGGTCTGAATGTCATCTTGGTTTATACTTCTCAGGGATTCAAGCACACTTGGCATGCCTAAAGCAAACTTCTCTTGACATTTAAAGGAGGGCCCCGTGATAGAGTCAGCCCCACGTTTATAATCACTTTGGAACAGGAGAGGTAACTTTCCACTTTGCTCTAGACTGAATAAGGTCAAAATGAGACGGGTGGGTGGTGGGGGCAGGTGGCATCATACTTTCTGGCTACCCTCAGTCACTGCTCCGTTCTTTGATATGTCTTCATTAGTCCCTCAGTAACCTAATGAGGCAAATACTACCATCCCCATTTTATAGATGGGAAATAGGTTAAGTGACTTGCCTAAGGTCAGGCAATTAGATAGAAAAGTCAAGATTTGAGTGTGGGTCTGCTTTGTCGTTGTGTTTTTGTTTTTGTTTTTGTTTTTGTTTGAATCATTCAGCCTCTAGAAGAAGGTAGGTTGGATAAGGTGCTCATATTGATGTAGACACATCTGCATTTTGATTACCCTTAAGCTGGATTTCTGACTATGAACAAATCCAAATCTTCTGTTCACATTGCATCTTCCTCACTCCCCATCCCTTGGCTATGGGCCTTTCTCTCATAAAGAGGCCTGGGAGGCACCGAAGGGAAGCGGGGAGACCCCAGCCTTCCACTGTTTTCTGTCAGCCTCCAGGTTAGACCAGGAGCCTGGGGACACTACTGAGGCTGTCTGCCTCCCAGAAGTCACATGTGCGTAAGAGGTGACTGTATTTTGCTGGAGGGAAGTGGAAAGAAGAACAGAGTAGGGAATCTGGAGGTGCCTGAGTCATACAGGATTAGAAAGTTAAGGTGCATCTTTTCCCTCAAAACAGTTTAGGAGGAAACATTCTGCAAAATGATTGCAGACTGTCGGGAGGCCTCGAGGGCTGGAGAGGTGCAGTCCAGTGAGATTGCTCGGATCTCCAGGCCAGGGTTCTCTTCTGAGCACTCCCCTCCCACCGCCCCCTCCACCACACCCCTCAGGTCCCCTGCTGTGGGTTCTTTGTAGAAGAAGATGTAAGTGACAAGGTAATGGCCCTAAGCACACACCAGAAGCCAATGGTAGATACCAACCACCCTGTTCCTCCCGACTCTCACAGATCTCAAACCAAGACAGGATGTTATTAACTAGTTTTTGAGGGAACATTTGGAACTCTGACTTCTATCAGCCTGAGGAGAGGTCTGATAGGGTCTTTGTTTGACTGACTCTGAAATTCCAGGGTTGGTGGGGAAAAGTAGAAGGAGGAGGGGTCTGCAACCCTCTTAGATTCAGCCTAGAATTGCTGGTAATACACAGTCATTTGGGATGTATTGTCTTCCTGAGCCTTTAATATTGGCCTCCTAAATTACTAGTAAGGCATGGGGCTCTCTTGCTTTATTTCTTAGGGATTTTTTGTTTGTTCATTT